TTTGTAAATAATAAATGATGCAAAATTCAACAGAAGCTTATTGAATTATTGAAAAAAATTAATTTAGCTTCAGAGAAATTCATGAACCGACTGAAAATATGTCGAATGATTTTGTTCAAACAATTTTGACTTTTGGGATTAATTTTCAGGAATTGATTAATTTCCTGTGTTTCATTGAGTCCTGAAATATATTTCASACGTATCATTTTAWARATMAGATCATAGAAATCAGGAAAATATGGAGTGTTAAGGAAAATATGACGGAAACGTGCTGAAAAAGTTGATACAGACATGAAAGGAATTGTGAAGTGGTTTGAGTACTGAAAGATTTAGAAATTTCAGGACTGAATGAGTTGTTTCAGCGTCGAAAAATAATATTGCGAATTTATCTCTTTGAAAATAGTAAATGACGCGTAATTTTGCAAATTGGGAGAGTTATGAATGGTGGGGAAAAATTCAACAACAGATGGTTGCCTGAAAAAAATTCACCGAGCTGAAATTATTAGATACAGCTTAGTGTCGTTTCCGATTTTTTCAGGAATCACAAAATTACTGTTGGCCAAACTAGAGAAGATAAAAATTCGAGTTAAAATTAGCTCAAGTCTTGACTAAATTCTTTTCCCACTGTTCTACTTTACTCTTTTAAGTCTTGCAGATTTATTAAAGTTTTCCCAAAAAATTTCATTACTTGGAGAAAACTTGAAATTAAATGAATTGTGGTTTCTTCATTATTTATTGGTTGCAAATTTAACGTCGTGTACGAATTGTGTGTTTTTCTTAGAAAATAAGTAGAGTTGAAATTGAATTTGAGGAATTTATTCTAGTTTGAAGTGAAAATAGAGAAAATAAACGGTTAAGTATGACAAACTGAAATTTATTGAGTTTATGAAATATATTTACTTGGACTGAAAGTTCAAAATTTTTCAGCATTTCACTACAAAGGAAACGGTTCTAGACATTGAGAAAAAAAAATAATTAAACAATCGGAAAACTGTGAAAAAACACAAATTCTGTCCCAATTTTTCCTCCTCAAACCTCACAAAAACCCCCAAACAAGTCATCAAAAAATTCAATCACTCCATCTCTCCCAAATTGACATTTCCCCCAATTTGCATGTATATAAATTCCCCGGAAATAATTCGCATTCAATGCCACAACTCATAAAATGTGCAAATATCGAATTTTATTCCCGACCGAGAAAAACCCTCGCTTTTCACCAAAGAAAAGCCCCGAATTTCCTCGTCATGAATGCAAAACTTTGGCTAATCCGAAACTTCGACCACAATAGAAACGCAAACCGAGAAAATATCTTGGCACAAGTTCGATTTTCGCAACCTATTTAAAACTCCTCAATTTGATAAAAACACACACAATATTTGCATTTCTTCGCTGAAACTGGACTCGCATAAATTGCAGCCTGAAACCTTGGCCACGATATCAAATTATTTATCGATTTTTCACTGTTTACCCCAAAAACCTAATAGAATAGTCTGCCAATAAATTACCTCGATATGTGATTGAAATGAAAAATGTCTCGACCTATCTTCCACTCATGAATTATTCAATTCGAGTTTCCTTCAGGAAACCGACCGGAATTCCCACTTTTCGCCCCCTGAAAATTAAATCGCACTAAATTTTATTTTGAAAACAAGTTTAGTTTCGCTGTAATTAATTAAAATGTGAGAATGCAAAGCAAACATTTGTTCAATGCTTGTTAATTAATTAAACTGTAAAATTTCGCTGAAAATCTTCGCTGATTAGTTTCAGAGCATGTCAGCCCTTCGGTGATGATTCCACTAATTACGAGTCCGCCTGAAATCACGCCGATAATTGCCGAATTAGAGTAAAAGCTCGTCATTTATTTATTGTTTTCAGGAGGAAAGATTTTGATTGAAATTTAATTGGAAAAATTGCTTCGCGAGTAATAAATTTGTTGTGTTGGCAGCTATGTGGGTATTTAAATTATTATCTCGGTGAATTACATCCGTTTCGCAGTAATGAGTATAAAGTAGTTGCCGCTCCCATTCAATTACATTATTTGAGGGAAAACACGAGCAAATTTTCTAATTATGTTATGTTTGTGATTCATTAGTTTTGCATACTGTTAATGAGTTCATTAACTCGCTAATTGGTATAAATGAGAGAGAAGAGGGTTTTAATTATTTTGTAATTGCGTTTCAGCGAAATTCTTCCAAAAACGTGAAATTGAAATTCTTCAAGTAATGAATTTTTTTAGCAAAACAATAGGAAAAGAATTTAGTCAAGACTTGGACTAATTTTAACTGAATTTTTATCATCTCTAGTTTGACCAACAATAATTTTGTGATCCCTGAAAAAATCGGAAACGACACTAAACTGTATCTAATAATTTCAGCTGGGTGAAATTTTTTCAGGCAACCATCTGTTGTTGAATTTTTCTCCACCATTCAATAACTCTCCCAATTTGCAAAATTACGTGTCATTTACTATTTTCAAAGAGATAAATTCGCAATATTATTATTCGACGCTGAAACAACTCATTCAGTCCTGAAATTTCTAAATCTTTCAGTACTCAAACCACTTCACAATTCCTTTCATGTCTGTATCAACTTTTTCAGCACGTTTCCGTCATATTTTCCTTAACACTCCATATTTTCCTGATTTCTATGATCT